AATTAATCAAATCAACGCATAGACGCATTAAAAGCAATTGAAGGACTTGGGCATTCGTCATTTGCTAATGAAGCTCGAAAGAAAGACTTGAGAGAAAATATGGCGGAACAAAGAGAAAAGTCCTTATGTTGGATGAATTGAACAACTTTAATCTTACGAGGGAAAAATAATTCAAGAGACGTAGAAAAATTTGCGGATTTGTTAGATGTGACAGTAGCAAAATTAAAGGAAGCAAATAGAACCGAAAAACTTGGCAATGGAACATTGAACCATCAACTGCAAAAAAAAGTTCCAGAGATAGTTAACTAAACACAAACGATGGGTGTATAAGAACAGATTAAACCAAAGTGTTGAATCTCTAAAGAAGTTTATTGTTGAAGAAGCAGATTTTCAAATTGCAACAACGGGCAACAACTCTGGTTTTAAAAAAATTATTAGTAGCAAAGCACATGAAGGAAATTCTTACTTTGGTAACAGTGATCAAAAAAAGAAAATAATTTTTTTACAGAAATATTCTGTTTGCAAAAATGATCATAAAATATGGAAGTTTCCTACGATTCAAAATTAAATTATTAAAGAAAGATGGGAAACAGCTAAGAAAATTAAACTCTGCTTCAGATGTTTGAATAATACCATTCGTCAAAAGAATGCAAGAACAAAAGAATTTTTGGGGTTGACGGCTGTACAGATACTCAAAATTGTTTGCTTCACAAGAAAAGACATCAAAATGAAACAATTTCTGAAGACTTCAAGGAAAAAAACACAATAATATAAAATTCTCACACGTCAAAAATCCAATTTCAAACACAACATGTTCTGAACTGCATAGAACATTTCTTAGAACGGTGCCAGTTTTTCCTCGTAATGGAAGTAAAAAAGTTGTGGTAAACGCATTGCTTGACGATGGAAGTATCAAGACGTATTTGAATTCTGATGTAGCGACTGAGTTGTCTCTGCAAGGTAAAACCAAAAAGGTAACTGTAAACATAATAACTGGAAAAATTGATTCTTTTGAAACAATGCCGGTGGAATTACATTTAGAATTGTTGAATGAAGAAACAAAAATTACAGTGGAAGCTTTTATAGTTAATAATTTAACTGGAAACATAAAAGCAGTTAATTGGGCAAATTTGTCAAAAAATTGAAAACATCTGAAAAAAATTGAATTCCCAAATATTGGACTAAAACTAAAAATTGACATTTTAATCGGTGTGGATTATGCTGAGCTGCACTGTACAATTAAGAAAATAAAAGGAGGATTTAGTGTACCAGTTGCTCGACTCCCGCCGCTTGTAAAAAATATACTTAAAAATTGAAATACCTAAAAATGACCAAATATACCAACGAATTTCATGGAGAAACCAGGATTCAACTGCCGAGCCTGAAGTGTTTTAGTTTAACCAACTGGTATTTGGCCTTAGTGCCTTTCATGGCTTAATTTGTAACGCAAGAATACGCAAGAGAGTATGCACGAAAATTTTCTTTGGCTTCCCAAGCTGTTCTTGAAGCAACTTACATGGACAACACAATAACTTCTGTTGTTGATGAAAAAGTAGGAATTTAATTATACAAGGAACTCATGCTACTATGGGGTTCAGCAGGAATGTTAGCACGAAAATGGTTTTCAAACTCGGTCGAAGTTCCTAAGATATCATCAGAAAATGATCGTACAGAACATATAAGTTTAGATTCTGGAGAATTTCCTACAATAAAAACACTTGGAGATATCTGGAAAGCAAAACCTGATTTGTTTAGTGTTTATTCTGTTACAATCAAAGAAAATACGGTACATACAAAACAAATTTTGCTTAAAAAAATGCAACGTTGTTCGATCTATTGGTTTTTTTAGTACCATATATCATTCAAATCAAACTAATTATGCAAGAATTGTGGATTGATGGAATTGAGTGGGATGATGCAATTCCGGATAGAATTGCAAATAATGTTGATCAATAGTTTCAAGAACTAAAAGATCTCTCAAAAATAAACATTCCCAGATGTTTACAAACAACAAAATTTTACGAATTGCAGAGAAGATTGTCTAAGCATTGAAGCTGGAAACTAAGGACGTAACTATATCGTTCAAGTTGAAAGTTAAAACCTTTTGTTGCCAACCGAGTTGGATTCATTCAATCAAAGACTGAACTAAACCAATGGAGATCCATACCAACAAAAACTAATGTAGCGGATATACTTACAAGAGAAACAACAGCTAATGAATCAGAAAGTAATAATATATGGTTGCACGGACCAAGTTTCCTGGCACGGACCGAATTTCCCGGAATCACATTGAAGTTTCCTTCAATGTGATTTTGTGACCATTTTTCTTCTAAATTCTTTAGAAGAAAAATGGCCACAGAATCACATTGAAATGCGACAAATATAAATTAAGAAGATGTAAACCTGCTCAACAGCTGATGACCTTTTTACCAAAAATGCACTTTAAAGAACAACTACGTACGTTCGCTAGAATTAGTATTGATTCTGCTGGTTCATTTTTTACTATGCAAGGTAGAGAGAAGATAAAAGAAATACTTATTATATTTTGTTTACGACAAAATAGATATTATTATAAGGTAAAGATGGACGTGTAAAAATTGTGAAAGTTAAAATTAGAAAAAAAGAATTTATATAACCAATTACAAAATTGTGTCTTCTTGAGTTTCACTATTTGAACAATAGTGCTTAATAAATGTTTTTCGTCATTGAACGAAGTTTTTGTATAAATAGAGTTTTGTTATTGTTTTGAAGATATAAAAATATGGAAAATATAATTTACATATTTAATGTAAAAACGGTTAAGATCATAAAAATATGAATTATAATAAATATTCGGTATTATTTATAATATCGGTATTATTTGTGATCGTCATCGGATCTATTTCAATATGTTATTAATTATTTTTTTTATTGTGAATACTAGTTTAATACACACACCAAGGAGTGGGCGTAACGCAGTTTTTTTATTTTTTTTATTTTCTATTTTAAGTAGATTTAGGTACCCAAGAAGTCCTTACGGTCTTATCACAGAGCAACGCGGAAGAGCATTTAATAGGAAGTTCACGCCTCCTTCCCAACCGATGTCGCAAAACTTGCCCAGAGATGGGGTTTGAACCACGGATCTTACGTTTCTGAGGCAAGTGCGCTACCACTGCGCGACGGCTGCTTTGCAACCGTTCTTTGCAACCGTTCCACCATCTTGTTCTTTGCAACCGTTTCTCTATCTTGTTTTTGAGTTTTTTTTTAATGGGATTGTCCATAAATTACGCAACGCCTAATTTATCTCATTGTAGTATACTTATATGTTTATGCCAAATAAAGATGCTTTCACAAAATTGTGACGATTTAAACCTGGGAACGAAATAGAGCAACAATTTGACAAAATATTTTTTTTATTCTTATAAACTAAATTACAAATTATTTGAAAAAATAAATTTATTAAAATATTTAAAAAAAATTTATTTTAAAAAATTTTATTTAAAATAATAAAAAAAAATTCAATAAAAAACTGCTACTCGAAGCAAATAAAAGATGAAACTGGTGACATTAAAAAAATATGGAACATTATAAAATAAATAATTGGGAACAAAAAAACTAAATCAAACCTGCTCTAATCTTCATGGACAATAAAGAGTACAGTGACAAAAATAAAATTGCTGAAAAATTTAACGATTTTTTTGTTAACATTAGCCCTAATCTTGCCTCGAAAATTCAGTTTTCTAATAACTCGTTTGAACTAAATCTAAACTATCTATGCCCAAAGCGAACTAAAATACAAAGAACTAAACTATTAAAAACTTAACGTTGCTCCAAACTTCTTACAATTAATGAAAACTCCAGGTATAGATGATATATGTAGTAGGGTAGTAGCAAATGTCTTTACAGCGACAAATATTTGAAATTTGAAAAAATTTGAAATTTTCAAGTTGATTTAAACAGGAGTTTTAATCGAAGACTTAAAATGTCTTTGTCAATTCAATCTACCAAATTAAGTAGTTAATAATTTGTTTTTTTATCAAATTAGTAACTTATTTACCAATTTAATATAAGTTGTTTAACGCAAATGTTATTTGCATTAACGTACTTATAAAAATAAAATAAGTAGTTTAATGCAAATGATTCGCCACTTTGGGTAGCTCAATTGCATTAAAATAATTTAGTCAATCATCAAAAAAATTGGTTGTTTGGTACCATCTGGAAATAATATATATATATAAATATATCTTTTAAAGAGTCGATAAAAACAGGAGTACTGAACAAGTTAAGTAAGTAGCTTAAGTAGTACCAATATTTAAAACAGGTGAATCATACTTAAATAAAAACTATAGACCTATCTCGTTACTTCTTACTTTCTCTAAGCTTCTCGAACAAGTAATCTATAACAGATTGTATGAATATTTAACCCAAAATGTCCCCTTTTTCAAGTTAGCGATTCATATAGTGTCGTACTTTTCGCGTACTAAACTTGCTTTCTATTTTTTTGCTCAACTTGCTTTTCCGCTCCGAGCAGCGGCCTTGTTTGTCAAGATACGTGTTTTGGAGATATATAGTTGAGAGCGGGTTATAAGCACAATTGAGTAGTCTCCTTGTCTCTAGTGGTCTTCTCGGCCTTGGGGAAGTGAATTGAAAAAAAAGTTGTAACTTTTTATACCCGAATTCCGTAATCGAATGAGCTATTCCGCAACCCTTTGAACAAACAATTTGAACTTTTTAACACTTGATTTCCTATTCTACTGTATGTGTGTACTATAACCCCTATATGTGTGCGTGTGTGTGTTTGAGCGAGTATCTAAAAGCAAGCACGAATCGCAATAAAACTGCATTTTTTGAGCTTTAATAATTGTTCTCAATAGCGTAAGTCAAAAATATTAAAATTGATATAAATAAATGTCAAAATGCCACAAAAAAAAAATTCTAAAGGTAAAAAAACTGTTAGTGTAACTATTATACTCTAGATTTCGTAAGTTGGTTATAAAACTGCAATGACAAGATTTATGAAATTCATTAAGTTAGCCGTTAGACTGAAATAACACGAATAATTGATTCACAGTTAAACCATAATTAAACAGTTATCGTGTAATTGTTATCAACTTTATGTTTACAGCATAGGAAAACATAGCAAGTGCAGTTACAACTACAGGAAATATCCAATCGTATTTATACGGATCGTCTTCTTCTTTCAAAATAGAATCTATTAGAAAAATTACTTAGTTAAATAACTAAATTTTTGAATAATTTGAAGTCATAAAATAGAGATACAAATATGTAAATAAAAACAAAAAACTTATTTAAAAATAAAAACCTTTACTTTTCAGCTCCTCTTTAAAATAAATTTGCATAATTCGACCTGTGTACTGAGAAAACTTACTACAACCTTTCAAATAATTTTTTAACTTTCCGTTTAGCAAAGGAAGTTTTAGCGGAATAACGAGACAAGAGAAAAGCAAGGCATCTAAAGAACTTGGTCTAAAAAAAGTTCGTCTTAAGTTAAATATAGTAAAGCATTATTTTTAATATTTGACAAAGCAATCTGAAAAAAAAAAAAAAAAATTAACAACGGCAACCTATCACCAAACAAGAAGTGCTTATCTCCTAAGAACTCAGAAAACATGTTCAAAGTAGAAACAGCATTCAAGAATAACTAAAAAAAAAAGTATGTGCATGTATATAAATGTATGTTAGGGTGTCCCAAAAAACAACATTTTTGAAAATAATCTGCTCTCACCCCCTAAATATGTTATATCTAATACAAAAACACTAGGTTTAAATTTTTTTTTTAATAAAAAATATTTTAAGGGGTCCCTCAAGACCCTCGAATATTTAATGAGTCCCTAATGTTTTCGAAAAAAAAGTTTTTCAAAAATATGTCAACCTGGTACTCAAATGAAGCGAAATTATATAATTATTTTAAAAATAATATTCATTTCGAAATATTTTTAACTTATTTATCAAAATTTTTAAAGAAAAAACATTAGAAATGTATTTTTTTCATTTTTTCTTAAAAAACGCAATTTTTTATGTAATAAAACCAAAAATAACAATTTTGTTTCGAAATGAATATTATTTTTAAAATTTTTATATAATTTCGCTTTATTTAAGTACCAGGTTGACATATTTTTGAAAAACTTTTTTTTCGAAAATATTAGGGACCCATTAAATATTCGAAGGTCTTGAGGGACCCCTTAAAATAAAAAAATTTAAACCTAGTGTTTTTGCATTAGATAGAACACATGTATATGTATATGTATATATATATATATATATATATATTTTTTTTTTTTAACATCTTCACTTCCAACAAGGGTGCAAGCAACCACTATAAGAGTTGGAAGTTACTGGAAGAGAAAAGACTAAATCTGTAGAGCAAGATAACGATTGACTGATGACTTAAAAGATTGCAAATTATATGAATCAGGAAAGCAAGATGAAGGAAGCAAATTCCAAAGAACTGATGTTCGAGGAAAAAAACTAGAAGAATAAGAGTTTTTGAAGCACTTAGGAACAGTCACAGAAAAAGGATGAGACTTAATTGAATGGCGAGTAACACGAGAATGAATTTTAGTAGATGGCACAAGGGACGCTAGCTCCTTAGAGCAGTGCCCATTATAGTATTTGTAGAAAAGAGAAAGAGAAGCAACATTACGACGATGTGACAAAGGTTGGAGATTGGCTGCCAGAGCAGGTCCAACTATGTTTACAATTCGTTTTTGCACCTTGTCTAAAAGAGAAAGAGCATCACTAGAAGATCCGCCCCAGATGTGGCAACAGTATTCCATACAGGGACGGATTTGAGATTTATAGAGATAGAGAATAGAATCTGGAGTAAGAAAGTGTCGAGCTCGATAAAGAGATGCAACCTTAGCAGATGCTAATTTTGCAATGGATTTGATATACGGTTTAAAAGAAAGATCAGAAGTAAGAGTTAATCCTAGAAGATGAATGGTAGATGACTCATCTAGTACATTACCATTCATAAATATAGGAAGATCTAAATTATTACGATAACGATTGGCCGAATAAAATTGAGTTTTATCTGAATTAAAGTTCACCAGCCACTGTGAGCCCCATGCTGTAGCAGAAGTGAGATCCTTTTCAAGCTCAGATACCCCCTCCAAGCAATCAGAGAGTGTAGGCTTCTTATCATGACAAGAGTAAATGGTAGTGTCGTCAGCGAATAATGCCACCTTAGATGTGAGAATATCTGGAAGATCGTTAATGTAAATTAAAAAAAGTATAGGGCCAAGGATTGAACCTTGAGGAACCCCTGAAGTTACAGGATGTGAAGAAGAGTGTTGTCCATCGAGGACAACTTTTATACTACGATTGGAAAGAAAGGACTCAATAATCTTAAAGACGTTACCAGCTACACCATAAGAAGAAAGCTTATGGAGAAGACCAACATGCCAAACTTTATCAAAAGCTTTAGAAATGTCAAGTGCGATAGCCTTAACCTCTCCACCTCTATCTAATGCACGGTAAAACCTATCGGTTATTACTGTTAGCACATCAGCTGTAGAACGAGAAGACCGAAATCCATATTGATGATCAGAAAGTAAGTTATTTGATTCAAGATGAGAGATTAAGTGTTTGTTGATTAAAGATTCAAAAACCTTGCTTATGACAGGAAGAAGACTAATGGGACGGTAGTTAGATGAATCAGATCGCTCTCCGGAATTTTTGAAAATAGGGATAACAGATGCTGCTTTCCAGCATGATGGAAAACAAGACTCTGATAAGCACTTGTTAAATAGTTTAGAAAGTATGGATGAAAGCTCCGGAGAACACCTCTGCAAGACTACAACAGGAATGTTGTCAGGACCACAAGCTGTTGAAGAGTCTAAGCAGGAAATTACTTTAGATACAGAAGCTGAAGTAATGCGAATGTCAAGCAAGGGATCAACCTGTTTGACGGCTATGTCAGGTAAAACGCAACTAGTGGAATCAAGAGATGATATTGATGAAAAGTTCTTAGCAAACAATTCAGCTTTGTCTTTAGGTGAGGTGACAAAGTCTGAACCATACAAGAGAGAAGGAATAACAGATTTGCCCTTATTATTGATACTGTTAAAGATTCTCCAGAAGTCTCGAGAGCCTAATTTTTGTGATGAGATACGAGATTTAATGACCTGGGAATAGCGAGCTTTGGCGTCAGACAAAACCTTTTTACAATGGTTTCTGGCGATAGTGAACAGATGTCTGTTTTCTGGAGAATTGTTTTGCTGATAGATATGGAAGTAACGGTTTCGATTAGAAATTGCTGCAGCGCAATGTGAGGAAAACCAAGGAGAAGAGTGAGGCTTGACCTGGAATCGTCGAGAGGGAATAAAAGATTCCATGCCAGCCTGAATCCACGAAGTTATGTAAGAAGCACATTTGTCAGCAGGAAGACGAAAGATTTCTACCCAAGGGCCATCACGAAGAAAATCACAGAAAGAGTCCCAGTCAGCTTTAAGGTAGTTGTATGTGGTACGATGATAGGGGGATTCTGATGAAGTAGAAGAATTTGGTAATAGTTTTAGAGAGATCAAACCGTGATCAGAAGTACCTAAGGGTGAATGTGGAGAAATTGAGCACTGACTAGGATCCAAAACAAGACATAAGTCGAGTAGAGAAGGTAAATGATTAGGGTTGTCTGGAAAACGAGTTGGAAAGTTGACTATTTGAGTTAGAGATTGAGAAAGGCAAAAGTTGAGGGCCTTAACGCCAGCAGAGTCACTGACACTAGAGCCAAGCCAATCGGTGTGATGGGCATTAAAGTCACCAACAACGACGATATTGGCCGATGGATAGAGAGAGAGGGCTTGGTCAATTTGATCAGAAATAACATCAAGAATAGTGCAATCTTGGGATGAAGGAGAGCGATATAGAACAAAGAGAAAGGCGATAGAGTGAAGTTGTGCTAAACGAAAGCACATAAATGAATATTCTGTAGATTCAAACCTAGTTTCACGACAAATGGGTGAGTTCTTACGAATGTAGATGCCCAGGCCAAGCATGTGATTATTGGAGTCTTTACGAATTAAAGGAAGATAACCATCAACACTAAGATCACAAGATGGGACAGCCGAACTCAAATTAGTCTCACAAAGAGCAAGTAGGTCTGGTGAACTTTGCATGAGATAAGACTCAACAGAAGAAAAGTTACTTCGAAGACCACGAATATTAGTAAATGATAGGTTTAGAGAACTTGGTGATGACGATGGTTTTTTGTGTTTTTTAGTTTTAGGTACTTTAGTCATTTTAAATTTATAAAGAACTTGACTCAAGTATAGATAGTACTCAGTACACTATTTAACAACTAAGCAATAGCCTCATTACTATTAATAAACCCTAAGCCGTAACAAAGGGCTCCAAATGTGGCCTCTGCAATGCACACCAAAAGTACAAACAGGGACACCATCCATGCGCAACATGGCACTGTTAGTACTCTGATATTTTTCGGCTGTTGATGGAATCAGCCTCTCTGAGAGCTACCACAGAGTTCGGGAAACCTGACTACCAGCCGGCCTCAGAACCATAAAACTGAGTTTTAGAGCTGTACCCTCATTAGGAGATAATAGAATGAGTTGCCCAGTCATAAAAATAGAGACACAAGCAATACCCACGCATTGAGTCAAGAAGATCCAGCGTTCAACATCCTAAACTGGAAACAATGTATTAAAAATACATCTGCGCCAGCCTAATAGATGAGGAAGGGGTGCGAGGCTGGTCAACAGATAGAATCTGTTTACCCCTTAAGTCTTTGCCTAGGAGGCCTTCTACAAGACAGCAGCTGGATGCATGTAACATCTGCCCAAGATGAGTATTTTTATCGAGACACCATCTCTAGCCTTTACTCAACCAAGAGCCCCAAGGCAGGGGGTGTTTTAATTCGGAGTTAACTTCTCCTAGCCTTTGCCTAAAAAAGCGTATCCTACAAGGCAGCAGGACATGGAGCAGGTTGAACTGGGTTACATGTTACCAGTAGCAGGAAAACAAGTAACTTTAGTACTTAAATAATTGTTGAAGCGAGTCAATTATCTAAGTATATATATAGAACACATGTATATGTATATGTATATATATATATACATGTGTTATATACATATACATATACATATACATGTGTATATGTATATGTATATATATATAATATAACCGATACTACAATTAGAAGAAGCATTAGCAAGGCAAAGTTACTTGTTGACACTAAAAAATTCACCTCAACACTCATCTGCGGTGGCTTTAACTTTCCAAATGTGAAATGGTTTAATGATGGTACCGTATGTGTAACTGGCCCTTAAAATAACCCACCTGTAAAATTCATTGAAATGCTCAATAAGACGACCTTCGAGCGCGTTTGCTGGACTAATGTATTGGACACCAGTGGTATCTTTTGTGCTTAGTGTGAGCAGGTTAAATTTCATTTCTGAAATGTTCTTAAATAAATAAGACCAACTACTTAGATATGCACTCCCTGAGCTACAATTCTTACTTAACACCAATTTTACTTGGCAGAACGAATATTTTACTCAAACTTTTTAATTAAACAGAGAGCCAGAAATTATTGAAAGACTTGCAAATTATCTGAATTGTTTATAATAATTGGAATAACTTTAACAACATTAAACTATTTGGTATAGCGTTATTGTTAACTATTGTTTGCATAATTTCTTCTTTTTTTAAAACTAAGTTTGGAAAAAGCAAGGCTTTAGCATTTCGTCACTAATAACCTTGACCAATGCTTTGTGCTTTAAAACAGTAATTAACCTTTCAATTTGACACTTACTTAATAATTTTAATTTTTAATGTAACTTGATGATTTTTTCTTATTTATTATTTTTTGTTCACGCAACTTTTCTGAAAGTTGATATTAATTTTCATTTGATAAATTCAAAATTTCATAAAATAAATTATGAACTAAAAAAATTAACTTTGTTGAACAACTTACCTTATTACATATAACATCAAAATCTTCATTAGAATAGTTTCCTGAAATTCTAATGGATTTTTCAACATCATGCTGAAGACTTTGCGGAGTAGAAAAATTAAGAGGGTAGCGACAAGATTTTGCGTATACCATACGCGTTACTTCTGTAAAGTTTTGGTTATCAAGCCAAAGTAAAGACATCTACAAAATAAAATTATTAAAAAATTTTCTTATAACTGTACCAAATGCATGTTGCAACCATTAAATGAGGGTTACACAATTTTAATACCTTACTAAACTTGTTAATTTTTTTAAATAAATTTTTTATCACTATCATTAATATATTCATAAAAATACTAAATATTGAACTATATTAAAAAATATTTATTAATAGCAAGCTTTATGTACTTACAACAGCTGGCAATAACTTTTCCTCTATCAATGAAGTCATTGCAATAATATTACCTCTTTGTTCTTCATTAAGCCATGTGTCAGGGTTAAAAAACTAAACATAACTAAATCAATATAAATCAAGTCAATATATTAATAGGAAAATATAAAATTATTATATATTATATTATTGTATAAGTTAGGAAATATAACAACAAAGCCATACATGGCAAGGCCTAGGGCACATATTGCGCAGCAAGGTCCACAATTGGAACAGACAGAGCTACTAAAACACTAAAAATTACTTTGAAGGTAATTAATTAATAAAAATAAGTTTATTATTATGACATATATGAATTATTAACAATTATTAAAATGTTAAGACTTTAAAACTTTTAAAGAGTTAAAACTGTTACAGAAGAAAAAGAAAAATACACACACAGAAAAGTTTAAGTTGGCACAGAAAAATATTAACCAGAGTCAATTCAAGTCTGGATTTGAAACACTGCTTTATTCTTCAATTTTTTTTTAAGATTATGCAAAATAATACATATATATATATATATATATATATATATATATATATATATATATATATATATATATATATATATATATATATATATATATATATATATATATATATATATATATATATATATATATATATGGGCAATACCGCGAGAAAGAGGGGAAAAAAAAAAAAGCGAAAAAGTTGTAAAAACACATAATAAACTCCAAAACTATTTTAAAATACTTTTAAGCAAGAAAGTTATTAAAAAAATTCATTTTATCATACCATAGCATGGTATGATAAAATGAATGAAAGTGTTTGACGCTTATTTACAGTCCTGTTGTGTAGTGTTAAAAACCATACTGTATATACATAATTGAAAACTTTGATAATGTTTTATTGCATTTTTTTAACATATTATATATGGTTGTTAATAATTACTTATACTTTCTTTCTTACATTATTGATTGTGTTGTTATATTTATCGCTTTTAAACATTGGATTTATCGTTACAACCGTTACGATTATGACTGTCACGACAAAAAAAAACAAAAACAAACACAAAAAGCTTGTAAAATTTTAAGTAAAAACTATGAAACTCAGCATATAATAACATCAATTACCATGCCGTTCACTGCATTAAGTCTGACAAAGTTGCTTTGTTCAGAAGTCAAAAGTAAGCGTTACGACTGTCATGCTAAATTTTTAAAAAAAGTTGAAGACATTAATGTTGTTACTTTTACACACTAAATTACATGATAGTATTTTACATTTCTGGAAAGTTTCAAGCCATTTCTGTTTTTGGTTCATTTTTAATAACTTAAAGAGTGTCAAATGTTACGACTGTCACTCTCGCAGAATTGCATGCATATATATATATATATATATATATATATATATATATATATATATATATATATATATGTATATATATATATATATATATATATATATCATATTTATATGACTTTAAATTTTTATTTTTATTTATACATATTTAAATTTATTATTTTATTATAAAATATATTTTTTATATTTATTTTTGTTATTTTTATTTATCTATTACATATTATATTTATTTTTATTATTTACAAAAACAATTAATTACAGTAATATAACCATATTTAAACCTTGCCATAACGCTAACCCTAAGCCTGACCTTGATGCTGACCTAAACCAAACCCTCAGTTGATGTAGCAACACTCTGTTCCGAGTCAGGCTACACAAAAAAATGATGCTTACGAGGACAAAAAATTAAAGTTTTTTTTTGTAAATTCTGTCCCCTTAAGTGATACTATAGGTGTGTGTATGTATATATATATATATATATATATATATATATATATATATATATATATATATATATATATATATATATATATATATATATATATATATATATATATATATATAGACAGACTTACCGGCTCCATAAAATTGTTTTATCTTACAAAATGATTTCCGAATTTACTGATGCTCCATTTAAACTTGCTATCAATTTTTTTTACTGGAGATATACTTTTCTTATACCTCGTGACCTCAGTCACTAATAAATTAAGCTTTTAATTAATTCCAAAAAATTGTTAGTTTACAACAATAACTTTAAAACATCTTTTTTGGGAAAAATGGAAAAATGCTTCAGTATGTCTGGAAATTTTTGAGCTCATTAAAAATCATTAATTTTTCAATCAATTAAAGTGCACAAGTTAAATTATTATCATTCTTCTAAAACTAAACAGTAAACATGAAAATTTTTCATTTGATATATAATATATTTGATTTAGTAAAGTAAGTGCTGAAATATTAGTAAAATTCAATTTTAAATAACTTGTCCACAAATTTTTGGACGTTACTGTATATAAGTTTAAACTTTTTTTTTAGGTCTGAGAAATGATAGTTTGGGTCTGGCAAAAATTTATAGAGTAGACTGAAAATGTTAGTTATGATGTAAAAAGTTTGGTTTTATGAACATAAGTAATTTGAAACTTGAATAATTTTGCATTATATTATATATATTTAAATTAACACAAATAACAATATAGAGAAAAAGTAGACAAAAAATTGTTGACTTCAGGCATTTTTAAGTTGGCAGTTAGATCTGTTTTACTGAACACACACGCACACGGAAAAAATGTTATAAATTAAATATAAATGTTCATAAACTGTCACATTTTGATAAAATAGGGGGTCATTGTAAAATGATTTTGGGGGTGAAAAATTTGAAAAAATTTGCCCCACCCTCCACAATCAAGCGCAAAAGGAATAATTGTTTTAAAATTGCCGCGACTGACATCCAATACTTCCTTAAGGAGTGTAAATTTAATTTTAACTTATAAAAAATTTTGTATTATTTACACACAGCAATTGAGTTAGAATGACCAAGTAACATATTGTTTAACAGAATGATAAATAAGTTTAATATGTTACAAAGAAGAATCGTCATTCATACATTTTCAAGACTCTATTTATAGTAGATTTTAAACTAATTCTTAAATAATATAATATGACCTACTTTTTAAGTCTGATAAAACTTTGCTAATTATGAATTGCAGAACAATTAAAAACTGATATATAGCCTTGTTACTCTCAGATTTCTAATTTATGATCATAGAATTTTGATACTTGATATTTCCTGCCAGCCAAACAAACAGAAGCATTTATCATTGTGATTGAATTCCTTTTTCTGGGCCATCATTTTTGATCTTGTCATATTAGCGCCACTCCATTAGCTACTGTTTTTTTTATTAGTTCTAATGTTTTTAATGTAAATTAATAAGTGTTAATATAATTATAAGTTAAGCACAAATTAAAGTGTCGAACTAAATGCACCTGCAACTATCAAAACACTTGCAAATATAAAAAGCTTTAAGAATTGCTGCATTTAACACCAAGTGAAATTTGCAAGTTTTAAATTTACTTGTAAGCTGATAAAACCTAGAATACTAATATTATCTTGCCTTCAACTGCATTTTATTTATCAACAGCAACCATAATTCACACACCGTTCACAGTTCTTTAAAACTCATCTGTGCTGGTGTGAAGTGATGTGCTATGGAGTGAGATTGAGTGTGAAGTGATGTGCTATGGAGTGAGATTTTAGATCCGAGCACATAGTCAACGACGCTGATCCATTGTGGAGCTTCCAACTGAACGTGTATGTAAGTGTCAGCATAGTCATTAGGTTATTGATCGCCGTAACCACATCCAGCGGGATAGCCTAGTGTCTGTTTTGTTGTTGTAGCGTACATTGGAAAAAATCGCATAAACAAAAAATTTATTCTTTGTGGCTCACCAGCCACAAAGAATAAATTTTTTGTTTATGCGACACAATGATTGCAAAAAGTGACCAACGGAGCCGCCCAGTTTTGTAGACCTGAGAGATGTGATAATAAAAACAGTTAGAAGATGGTGTCATTGAATAAAAATCATAAGAAAATATAAAAAGAGTGATAAGACTTTTGTGAAGGTAAAGAACAAAGTTAAATGCTTAGGGGGGGGGGGGGGGGAGGCAGGGAGAGAACCAACTAACTCTCTAATCACTCTGTGTGTAGATCATATGTAACAAAGAACAAATATTTGATATACTGATTTTGAAGACTGTTGATATCTACAGGTGTGATGGTGTAGTACATTAGTACATACCGTTTGTCATCTAGTATGGTCTCGTTATGTTTCCTTTCACTTTCAAATGGGCGAAAAGAAAGCTAAACCCACTCACTTCTTGCGCTTATGGGCTAGCACATCAGAGCCAGACGTGAGACCTACAGAATGGATTTTAATTGATCGAATGCACACATTAGTCACCGTAGACCACAAGCCATCACTCTTAGCCAAAAGAGCTACTGCCCTGTGCTGGTGTGGAATGATGTGCTATGAAGTGAGATTTCAGATATAATAATCCTTCAATATTAAAAACAAACATTTTGAGAAAAAAATAGTCACAATGCTCTTTATCTTTTCGAATATATAACATTGTTTTTTCCTTTTTTATTTTAATATTAGAGCTTAAAATATAAATGGAAAGGAAAGTTTTATTGCTCATTTTACTTCAAATAAAAAGGTTTATATTATAGAATAGGTTATTTCAAAATAAAAATTTTATATACAAAATATTTGAAGGGTAATATTTTTTCAAGTCAATTATATGAAATTAAAAAAAGAGACTTAAAGCACACATTCCCTATATATGAAGCAAATAAATTTGCTTCATATGTAGGGCTGTCAAAAATCATGAAAAAGCTGGTGCCCATCCACAAACAGGCGGGTACTTAGGTACTATTTAAAAAAACAATATTTTTTATAAAAATTGCACTTCTAAAAAGTCAATAAAAACTTTTCACTCAATAATGTTATTTGTTCAGAGTTTTTCTTTCCAACTACAGTTTAGAACTTCTAGCATATCCAGCTACAAAATGTTTCAGCTCCAAAAAAATGCAATCATTGAGAAATAAAGAGACTATCTGAATGAGAAACTTAAATAATTTTTCAAATGTTACGTTTAATGTTTTCAGAAAATCTGATGGTGATAAAGAAACCATAACTGTTGAAATTTTTCAAGAGTTTTTTTTAAAAATCTCCTTTCACATACCAAGTTTATATTG